CGGAATTTAATTAAGCACACTGAAATCAACCCACTCACCTATTGACACTTGATTTTTGACAAGGAAGCCATAATCAGCCAATGGAAAAGGGAGAGCATCTTCAACAAATGCTTTTGGTCTATCTGGCTATCTGTATAGAAGAATGCAAATGGATGCATATCTATCATACAGGACAAAAGTAAAGTCCAAGTGGATCAAAGACCTCAACATAAAACTGGATACACTAAATTTAATAGAACAGTTAATGGAGAATAGCCTGGAATTCATCAGTGCAGGAGACAACTTCCGAAACAAAACGAGTCTCAGGCATTACAGTTCCACCAAACAATCAGAGAAGGTGCTGTACCCGAGGCTGTTGAGGGAACTCTCTGCCTGTCGATCTTGTACCACTAAAAGGTCATCCATTTCTGGCCTCAGTGGGAAGGGATGTACCTAGTACCACAGTGACACACAGGGTAGGAATTCCCCTTCTCAAAACAGACCGGGGGATCCCGGTGGCAGTTCTGCACTCAACCTCACAAAACCCAGAGGAAGCTGGCCTCTCAGTAGCTCAGTAGCCTCGACAGTATCTTAGGTAATGAGACAGCAACACCCGCCCCAAACAGGGAGTAACTGGGACCCACTGGAACCCAGGAATTCACTCCTGGCCTGGAGCGTTGGTTCCTTCCTCTCTGGGCCTAAGCACTGAGCAGATCTTGCGCTCCAGCTCTAACCCCAGTAGTAACACCCACCCCACACACTTTTGAAACATCCAAGATAATAGGAAAGACAGGCACCAGTCAGAGACAGGGAAGGTGGCACTAAGGAAATCTAGATGAAGAAAGGCAAGCACAAGAACATAAGCATCAGTAACCCAGGGTACTTTGCATCATTAAAACTTAGTTCTCTCACACTAGAAAGTCCTAAATTCCCCATATAACCAGGAAAGCAAGGTTCCAATTTAAAATTACTTCTAATGATGTTGACAGAGGACTTTACAAAGGACATAAACACCACTCTCAAAGAATTTGAGGAGAACCCAGGTAAACAGGTAGAAGCCCTTAAAGAGGAAACAGAAAAATCCCTTAAAGAATTACAAGAGAATACAACCAAACAGGTGAAGGAATTGAACAAAACCATCCAGGACATAAAAATGGAAGTAGAAACAATAAGGAAATCACAAAGGGAGACTACCTCAGAGATAGAAAACCTAGGAAAAAAATGAGGAGTCATAGATGCAAGCGTTCCTAACAGAATACAAGAGACAGAAGAGAGAATTTCAGGTGCAGAAGATACCATAGAAAATATTGACACAATTGTCAAAGAAAATGCTAAAGGCAAAAAGTTCTTAACCAAAACATCCAGCAAATCCAGGACACAATGAGAAGACCAAACCTAAAAATAATAGGTATAGATGAGAGTGAAGATTCCCAACTTAAAGGGCCAATAAATAGCTTCAACAAAATTATAGACAAAAACTTCCCTAACCAAAGAATGAGATGCCCATAAACATACAAGAGGCCTACAGAATGACAAATAGACTAGACCAGAAAAGAAATACCTCCTGTCACATAATAATCAAAACATCAAATGCAGACAAAAAAGAAAGAATATTAAATGCAGTAAGGGAAAAAGGCCAAGTAACATATAAAGGCAGAGCTATCAGAATTACACCCGACCTCTCACCAGGTACTATAAAAGCGAGATGATCCTGAACATATATCATACAGATCCTAAGAGAACACAAATGCCAGCCCAGGCTACTATACCCAGCAAAACTCTCAATTACCATAGATGGAGAAACCAAGATATTCCATGACAAAACCAAATTTACACAGTATCTTCCCACAAACCCAGCATTACAAAGGATAATAGCAGGAAAGCTCCAATACAAGGAGGGAAATCATACCCTAGAAAGAGCAAGAAAGTAATCCTCTTCCAACAAATCCAAAAGAAGATATCCACACAAAGATAATTCCACCTCTAATAACAAAAATATCAGGAAGCAACAATCACTGTTTCTTAATATCTCTTGACATCAATGGACTCAATTCCCCAATAAAAACATATAGGCTAATGGACTGGATAAGCAAACAGGACCCAGCAGTTTGCTGCATACAGGAAACCCACCTCAGTGACAAAGACAGACACTACCTCAGAGTAAAATGTTGGAAACAATTTTTCAAGCAAATGGTCCTAAGAAACAAGCTGGAGTAACCATTCTAAAACCTCCATCCCAAGAACACAAAGGGAGGGACTCATGGCTCCACCTGTATAGGTAGTTGAGGTTGGCCTTGTCAGGCATCAGTGGAAGTGGAGGGCCTTTGTGCCTGAAAGTTTGGATTCCCTAGTGTTGGAGAATTTAAGAGCAGGAAGGCGGGGATGGAAGGATGGTGGGAGCACACCCTCACAGAAACTCCCAGAATTATATGGATTAGACATGACAGAGGCAGGCCGCCAGAAGACTAGATCCCAGAATTCAAACAAAAAATTATCTTGATACTAAAATTTGTTTTGAGAATTGTATATTGCAGAATACATAGCCTTGGTGTATCTACTCATCAAGCAAGCTGAGCAGACCTGTTCGAACCTCTGATGTCCTGAAATTTCAGCTGGATGCAATGAAGACACAGACATCAGAGGCTTATCAATTTATTCTTCCCCCTACCCCTCTTCTAATATCTCAACACCAGTAATCAGCTTGAAGAAGTTAATGAAGAGTTGGCACTGCTATTCCCTGGGCTTGGGGACTAAGATGGTTAAAATTGGGCTATCTTTCTAGGGAAAAGTAGTGGTTTTGTTGGAACAGAGAGGAATAGCTAGGATTTATTTCACAGCCATAACTTATTGGTAGAAATCTGTATAACTGTTATTAAGCTGAATTCATACTTTCTTAAAGGGTTCAAAATTTACTTTGATTTCAAATTTAAGGTTTTCATTGGTACAAGTTTCTTATTGATATAGAAGTGATATTAATATTGTTACTCTCATAGGCATTGTGCCTATATAACACATTTGGGAATACAAGGCTTAGACCCAGTCCTTCTTTAACTTTTTTAACTGATTTGAGATGGTTTGCCTGTGAGTTAAGGGCCTAGAGCAAATGCATGGCTCTAAGTTTATTGTTAGGGTGTTTTCTATATTTTATTTAGAAATAGCTGAGAGGAGTTAACAGACAACAGTTCAGATTGCCTTACATGGATAGTTGATTTTCAAAATGTCAGAAGTCCACAGAATTGACACTACAAACATTTCTATATTAATGTTCATTTTGATTAGAGACCTGTATGCTCCTGACAGCTTCCTGTCTTGGATTCTAAGAACAAATTGAGCATCTATGGAGTACTTCAGTTGTGGTGAGATAGCCACTAGACAAGAATTGCCTCTTTTCTTCTACAGACAAATTACTGTCCAGAAAAGGACGCACTTGTGGAATAGTCGACTGATTATATCTGCCAAGACAGAGTAATCAGCCCTTAATAATTCTGCAACACTAGGTCTGTCAGATGATACAAACTGGTATAGTTATGCTCTAATTGTATTTTGAGAGAAAATTTTATTTTAACAGGAAGGGTGATATGTAGGAAGAGCTAAGGTGGGAGAAGTAAGGAGAAGAGGAGGAGGAGAGAAGGATTTAGGAGATGAGAGAGAGAGAGAGAGAGAGAGAGAGAGAGAGAGAGAGAGAGAGAGAGACAGAGAGAGACAGAGAGACAGAGAGACAGAGAGAGAGAGACAGAGAGAGACAGAGAAACAGAGGAACATGGAGGTGGATGTTCGCATGTCTCCTCCAGTCAAAGGTAGTTGGTATATCTAGGTTGGGTATTGGGTTACACTTCTGATTGTATGGGCATCTCATTATTGAGCATTACCAAACTTCCGAAGCCTTTGATTAACATTTAAAAAAAGAATGCTGTCCCTAATGATTTAAATAAAATAAATTCCCAATGAAAATGAAATAAAATAGGACCACTGGGGGAAAAAAACAAAAACAGAAACAACAACAACAACAAAAACAGAAGGGGAAGGCATATTTGGAGGATTACTTGCTCGAGGGGGGCAATGACAGGGGAGCAGGGCTGATAGTGGGTTGTAAAGGAAATAAATAAAGAAATCTAATTTTTAAAAAGACCAAATAATAAATAAATGGGACCTCATGAAACTGAAAAGCTTCTGTAAGTCTAATGACACTATCAATATGACCAAATGAGAGTCTACAGATTTGGAAAATATCTTCACTACAGGAGACAGAGGGTTAAACTCCAAAACACATAAGGAACTCAAGAAGTTAAGACACAAAAAGTCCAGATAACCCAATTAAAAAATTGGACTACAGACCTAAACAGAAAACTCTCCTCAGAGGAATCTTGAATGACTGAGAACCATTTAAAGAGGTAAGACTACAGCAACCAAACAGAAACCTCATATAGTTCTCTCAGGTTCCCAAACTCACCCTGGCTCTTCTAGAACCAAATTTTAGTAGACAGGAATTGCCATGAGGAAATAGGATTGAAGGCTCTCTCTCTTTTTATGACAAAGCAGAATAAAAGGTGGGAAGGGTTTTCAAGCTGAGAGACACCAAATGCAAAGAAACACATACAGAGGCCCATGGGTTGGACACATATTTATGACCACAATTCTATTATTATCAGGTAAAAAATTGAATAAAGGAAAGTATGAATGTGTAGGATTACCTTTTACTTGTTGGGGAATGCTTTTGGTTCTAAAATAAAGTCTAGTATTCAGAACTTCTTGCCTGGGATAACAAACACACATACACACACACAAACACACACACATACACACAAACACACACACACACACACACAAACAGAGAGAGAGAGAGAGAGAGAGAGAGAGAGAGAGAGAGTAAGACAGAGAGACAGAAAAAGAAACATGTTAAAAATCTATAGAAATACATGAAGGAAGTTTTATAGTATAATTTAAATTTTTTTTATTTAATTATTTCAATGTGTGGTATCTTCTTCAGGTTTTGCAAGTCTATAGACCTTAAATTCTGTTATTCAGGTAAGGTGTCTATCACCAGATTCTGTGTTTGGCACCACTTTTTTTAGAGGTAATATCCTTAATTTAAATAGGACATACAAAGAAATTAAGCCAAGCACACACATAAGTAAAAAAGCTATGAAGTACATACTCCAATTGGAAGGAGATAAAGGCACAGGAGCTGGCCCACTGTCTATACTACCTCCATGGCCATGTAGTTGACAGTCTGGGGGTTCCCATGTGAGGTCACAATGGCAGTGCTGTTTATTGTTGCAGACTCCATGCATATGGCAAACGATTGTTGAACAGTTACTTGACAGAATGGACTGGTGTACACACTTTCTGTCAATACATAAATGCTGTGGACCACAAACTGTGCCATCGTTCACTGCTCCAATGTCATCTAAGGTTATTCCAAAATGATAGTCTATAGTCCAACAGGTGATATTACTGAAGTGAGTGGAATGCAATGTTTCATGGTTTCTCCTTTGGGGAAGTACTGTCACATTCTCACACTGAATTCGCCCACAGTGTACATTAGCTAGTTTGCATCCTATGTATTTATGGGCATCAATACCACAGTTACCAAAGCGGTCACCCCGTTTGTTCATTTCCATGTAGCAAATTCCACTTGCACTTCGACTTCCATTGCCAAAAATCTTCCGACACTGTTCATCATGTTGATGACACTCCATCTTATAGCAATAACCACCGCCACTGCAAGGGCTTCCGACTTCTTTATACACATCTGTTGGACACTCAGCTGAAGTTCCATTGCACCACTCTGGAAGGTCACACTCATTTTTCTCTTTTCTACACACTGAGCCTGTTTGAAGGAACTGGCAATGTTGGCAACAAAGCCCAGAAGCACATTGGGCACCAGGTTTGAGAACACAGTCCTCGCTACAGCATGGATCTTTTGAACAGGATTCAGAGCTCCCACAATCACACTGCTCTCCTTCCTCAACTAAGTTATTCCCACATTCAGTCAGGTTTGTTGTTACTAGTGTTTCTAGTGTTTCTGGTGTATCGTATAAGCAAGTTCTTGGAAAAAGAAATGAATATAGATATTCGAAACTACAGTTGCTGAATTTGGGGGAATTTGATTTATAGGCAGCCATTAGGCAGGTTTTTCTCCCACAATAACAATCCTTTACATCATGTATCAAACCCAAGTTATGACCCATCTCATGTGCTACAACGAATGCGATGTCTAACATGTCATCAGACACAAAACTGATAACTGCACAATTAAGAGTTAAACAAACAGTAGCTACATAAGCTAACCCTAAAGATATACCATAACCATGTCTGGCAAAAAGGTGTATAACATCATATCTAATTTCATTGCCAACTGAGGCTCGCTTCCAATCGGAGAAATCACGTAGAACATTAGATATACTTTGTTCTACATTGATATGATTTTGTTCAGTCCACACTTCAAGTTTGGTTAAAACCACATCCATACTTATTTGAAGATAATAACCATTTATTCCATTGACTATTTGCAACATATCTTGAAGACAAGTTGTGGTATTGTTGTTTCTATAAACATAACGTTTATGGTCTATTACAACAAAATAATCAATAAACCTATGGTGGGTCCACCAATTTTCATATGGGATTTGCAAAAGTGTTGAGGCAACTCTTTCTTGAAGCTTCATTTGTCTTGCTATTTCATCTTCAGTTAACCCGCATCTCATGGGAATTGATTCTGACTCCTCACTGTCTAGTTCGTAAGCCAGATGTTCAAATGTTGAAGTTGAGCTCTTGGGCATGATTTCATAAGTTGTGCCATTTATGTCTAGTATGCCTTGCAAACTCCCAAAACAGGTGTGAACAATGACCAAGGATTCTGGGTCTTCATCCACATAGCCATGGTAGTAGCAGTCATTCTGCACAAAAGGCTGTTCTTCAAGTGGATCACCTTGGTCACTATAAGTGAGTAATAAGAAGTTTCTGGATATCAAGTTTTTCTTTGGTTTCATAGTGATTATGTGTCTCTGCCCACGAATGTGCAGACTATAGGACAGCCAAGCTCGTGAAATATTATTCCTGCTAGAGACATTGACCCTCAAGGGTATCACTACTTCTGGAAGGCTACTGTACTTAGCATGTCCAGTTGGTGACCATGCAGAGAAGAAGAACATCTTCCACAGGTACATCTTAATGTACATCTTCCTTTCATGGACCAGGACCTTATCCACAGTCACTATATCCTATTAGAGACAACGGAAGATCTTGGAAAGTCCTTGCTCTCTTATTCCTCAGTTTTTGGAGTCAGCTCTGTCCTTTAATGGCATGTCTTCTGACAGAATTGGGTCCTAAGAGCAGCAGGACTACAAGAAACAGGTAAATAAGGGCAAACACAGCAATTGGTAAATCATGGTCAAGGTAAATTTGATCATATAACTGCAGCCTGTTGGGCCCCATTTAGTCCCTGGTTTCAGCCTTATGGACAAACCCGAGCCTGGCTCGAATTTCTGTGGCCATGTGGGAGACCCTAAGCCTGGCTAGAGTTTTGATACCTATTTCACTCACTTCCGTATCCAGGTGACTCAGCAAGACCTGTTTGTCCCTGTCTCTGCCCCTCCATTGCTAATGTAGAGCTTTGCCCTTGTCCTTGTCATTCACCCCATACTCTCTGTTACCCTTCCCTGCTTCCTATGTCATCTCACTCCACCAAAAATCCCTGTCCCTAAATTTGGAGTTTATATATGTGAGAGGATAAAGCAATGAAGTTGAGCTCCTGCTTCAACAAGACTCCTGGCCCTGTGTGTTTCTTTTGGGACACTGACACTCACCATTTGGCTCAGCCCCAGAGAGAGGTGGTAGGATTGGGAATGCTCTCCTTTTGCCTGGACCTGCTGGCAAGCAGCTGACAGACAGACTGGTGCCCCCTGTGAGGAACTTCTCTCCCATCCTCTTGATACATGAATACTGATGGGCCAGTCTGTCTGCAGGTGAGTGTACTCCCATAAGATATGGGACAGTCTACATCTAACTCTGATATCCTTCTCCCAATTCTCCAACTAATCCATTCCATGCTCCTCCTCCTTCTGTGCCCTCTGTTACTCTGCCTTATTCCATAGGAGGTCCTAACTCAAGAGTAACCACTCACTTCTATCCAGTCAACCTTAACCCTGGGGGCACTCCCTACCATTGTAGGTCGGAAGAACTACTTTCCATACTGGTTGAAAACAAGGAAAAGGCCAAGGAGCCTCCTTCTGCTGAAGAGGCATCTGAACCAATAGTGAAACCAAAACATAGTCCTTGTGGGTCATCACCAAAAGAACCTCTTTATCCCTTTTTGGACCACTTTGGCAATGGCCCTTGGCTGGCCTCCAAGCAGGCGATAAAACTGGCCTCCCAAGACCCCTCTAACAACCCTTCTCAGACCTCTGAAGGGACCTCTGAGCCTTACAATAATGAGGGGCTTGGCACCCAGTACATGACCAGGTTTTACCCAGTGAATGTCAACCCTGGAAGTAATCAGTGAACCGCCTGGTACCCTTGGGAACCCCAAGATCTTAAAAACTAAAGAAGGCCGTGACTCAGGATGGGCCAAGCTCCCTCTGTACTGAGACTATTCCTGCTGCCAGGCATGTGTTGCTCGAGACTGGAAATACTTGATTAAGACAGTTCAGTCTGGGCCTATGTTTCTTAAGTTTCTGGCATATTTTAATGAGGAATGCTTCACAGGTAGAAAGGAACCAGAATGCCCAACTAGCCATACAAATGAGCACTGTGATGCTCTCTGGTGCCTTAGACCAATACTCCAAAGGTGCCCAACAAGCAGCTATTCTGAACCCCTACCAGGATCAGGTCAGAGCCATTGACCTTGCTGCCTGGAGGAAACTTGATCAAGGGCCCTCTGGGTCCCAAATAGCAGGGATTAATCAGAAATCTACTGAGGACCTTACCTTCTTCATTGACAGAGTTCAAAAGAGCATGCAAAGCAAATTCCTAGTGGGTGACTTTTGATACCACTTTGTTTGCTCTCTGATCTGGGATGGGATGAATGGTGATCACAAACTTGCCTGTGTATGGTTATGCAACTAGGCTTATTGACAGGTGGAACATGGCCACCAGAGATGTAGGCTCGTCCTCCTTTCAGACTAGGGCCCTGGCCACTGCTCATAAGGAGGCCCAAAAGGAAAATATGACTGACTGTTCTTGTTAATGCCCTCCAACATACGTTAGTCAGCAGGGAATGGACCTATTTTGGTGTGGGAATGATGGTCATTTTAAAAAAGAGTGCCTTAATTTGACAAATGCTGTCTTACATCCTACAAACTGTTCACCAAGTACCCCTTGGCCCAGGTTCAAGGAGAGCTTTCATTGGGCTAGGAGCCTTAAATGTAAATTTGTTTTCAATGGCCTGACTTCAAACTCCACAGGAGGGCTAACCCCATCTCGATTAAATAAGGGGAAACCTCCAGTTAGGGCTAACTGGTCTGTGCCTCTTTTCCAGGGCTCTCCCCTATGATGACTCTTGCCATTGGTTGGGAAAACTTTCTGGTTCCTCAAAGGAGGAAGCCCCCTACTCTTGGAAGCTTGTTCCTGGTTCGCCTTTTACTGGGCATGGCGGAGAATCAACCACATGGGAGACCACCTCCTGGCTTTCCAGGGGGGACCATGATGGCTATAGAAGTGAGGTGTGCCCTCTTGTGGTGGTTGGCCTTACTGCTAACCTTTTGAGCCAAGTCATCCTTGGAAAGACAGAGGCCTTTATGACTACTGATCACAAAAAAAAAAAAAAAATTATTTATGATCTGTTAGATACTAAAAAATGTGAACAGTCTTTTATACAGGGAAAGATAGTGAGAAGTTTGACTTTTCTATTATTTTTGTTAATTTTGGTGGGCCTGATTCTAGGTTTGAGTGGATGGTTATCCCCCAAGGCATGGCCAGTAGCCCCCTCCCCCCACCCTCCCCACCCTGTCACACACACCATGTGTTAATTCTATATGCTTAATATTTTTCTATCCTTTGTAGATGATTCCAATATTTTATTTTACATTTATATGAATGATACTATTTTGGGTGCTCCTAGCTTCTTGGACCTTCAAGGGTTTACTGATAAGTGTCTCTCCTTTCTTAAATATAATAATTTTGGGGTTGCTCCTGGAAAGGTTCAAAAGGTACCACCATTTAAGATCCTGGGCTCCATGTCGTCCTTAGATGCTGTGTTCCCTGTTAAGCCTAAACTTCAAATTCAAGACTCCTGTACCTTCCCACAGGTACAAAAGCTTTTGGGAGAAATTAATTGGATGAGGTCTTGGATCCCCATTGTCACAGAAGATCTAACACCATTATTTGACCTCCTTAAGGAAAATGACCTCTTCACCCCTATAGTACTGACATCTGATCTATCCAGCTGTTGAATAAGATTAAACAGGCCATTGATTCAGCCACCCTTAAATGATATTATCCCAACATACTCCATATTTTTATATATAATTTCCTAGAGAAATGTTGTGCAGTACTCTACTTGGTCAAGAGGATAAACTGGTCCATTGGATCCAACTTTCAGTGGGATGGCCCCTTAGTTTATTCTATGGCTAGCCAGCTGGATGATTACATTGTTAAGAGGAGAGATCTTTTCATTAGGCTTTTTGGGACAAAGACTTCTGCCCTTGTTACCCCATTTAAGAATACAGATTTCCTTTGGTTACAGAGAAACAATAGTCAGGTTGCTCTGGCCCTAGAGGGTTTTGCTGGCAAAATTGGTTGCCACTTTGGATCATATAAGTGGATGAGTCTGTTTTCCAGACTTGAATGGAAGCCCCCTTCCAAGACTCTTTCTTTCTAGCCCCAACCCAAACTATCTCACTGTCTTTACTGATGGTAGGCACCTGGGGATCCTCCATTGTTGTTTCCCACCCTTCCTCATCAGATAAAGGTCCATCGCCTATAAAGTCAGACCTCAAAAAAATTGAGGGCTCTGACCAATTTAAAGAATTGTTTGCAGTGGTTATGACATTAGGTATGATTTCTGAATCCTTTAATTTGTTTTCTGACAGTCTCTATGTAGGAAACTTACTGCCTAATTTGGTAGAGGCTCATATTAGGCTTGAGTCTAACCCCATCACCCTCTGATGATCCATGCACATACCCTACTAAAACAAAGACAATATACCATTTTTCTCTAACACCCTTGTGGTCATCAAGACCATCCAGGGTTACTATCTGCTGGAAACTACCTGGTAGATCAACTTGCTTCAGGCTTACAATGCCATACTGTTGCTGAGGCAACTCAGTCCCACTCATTAACTCATGTCAACTGGAGGGGCCTAAGACATAGATACCCCCAGGTCCTCATAAAAGACCATGGAAAGATCATCCATATTGCCAGCCATTCTTAAAGGTATCTCCCCTCCAGCCCATTGGGAGCAATACCCAAGAGTCTCTGCCCTAATAATCTTTGGCAACTTGATGTTACTTACTATTCCCCATTTGGGAAGCTAAAATATGTATTTGTGACTGTTGATACCTTCTCTCATGCATGCTGGGCATCAGCCCATGCCAGAGAAAAAATCTAAACATGTTATTAGCCATATGCTTCAATATTTTGACATTTTCAGACTTTCAGATCAAATCAAAACAGATAATGGCCCATGTTTTACAAACAAACCTTTTTCAGAACTACTCCATACTTGGAAGATCTTCTACACTTGAGGCATCCCTCACAACCTGAGAGGACAGGCAATTGTCGAAAGACAAAAATCAAGCCTTAAAGTCTCAGTTACAAAAACAAAAGGGTGAGTCTTTACCCCCACATGATCAGCTAAAAAAGGCATTATTCACTTTAAATATTTTAAGTTTTTCAAAAGAAAATCCTCAGTTGTCCCTGTTTCAAAGACATTGGACCTCTGCCATCACCTATAGCTTCATATGAGTCAGATGGAGGAACCCACTGAAGGGAGCTTGGAGAGGACCAGTTCTGCTTCTCACAGCTGGGAGGGAACTTGACTGCATATTTCCCCAAAGTGAAAAAAGAGCAAACTGTATAACAGCCAGAGATATAAAGTATATGCCTCAACAAGGGGTGGCTGACAATAACATTTCCAGGGAGTCTACCTTGCCTAAGAAACCACCCTTTGCTTCTCCTGCAGGAGACCAAGATGATCAAGACAATGACACTGCTGCTGACATGGATGCTGCTTTCCATCTTGACTGAGGGAAGACATGGGGACCCCTGAGAAGC